CGTCATTTGTGAGATTTACCTCCTGATTCTTGATGAACTTTCTGAATGGTTCTTCTCACGAATAAAATATCAGAGGCAATTGAAAAGCATTTTTTCGATGCAAGATGGCATAAATTTCTTTAAAAAAACACTCAATTTACACATTTTTTGAATTCTTTAAACGACATCAATTGGAAAACACTTATTATGACTTCTTGAGTGAAATCAAAAATAATTCGAAATAGACTCAAAGAATGGCTGAAGTTTGGTTGGAACGGCTATCTTAAAGGGTTGGTCGAGACGGTCATTTCGTATGAAATTACCTGATTAAGGTATTCATTTATCAATCTCAACAGAAGACGGCGTAAGATTCCCGTTTTACTGTGACCATTTCCACTTGCTACAACTTTCAGGTCGATGTGGTTCATGGGGCATCTTCCATAGTTTTGTATGGAAACGGATTATGTTTTCCTTTTTACTGTGACAATTTGGACTTGCTACAACGTTCAGGTCGATGTGGTTCATGAGGCATCTTCCCCAGTTTTGCCTATCAAATGGTGTAAGGGGGAAAAGCTCATTCCATTTTAACCTCATGGACAACGTTAACCTGAGTCTTGTAGCAAAGCCAAATGGCTGCAGACCTTTGGCAATCAGCTGTTGTCTTTTGGTAAGATTAACTCACGAATTTCATCAACATGCACTTTCGTACCAAATGAAGGTCTCCTTAAACCTGTTATTTCAATTGCTTTATTAAAGCCCTATTATTGTTCATTTTAATGATGGAATTCACAATGTTTCAGCATTTTTGTGTAAAAAATGGAAGATACAATTTTCCATCATATGCCTATCATTGCCATATGCTGCTTTACTACTTTCTACAACTTTAGGGCTTTACGGAGGATCTCTACGCCTTCTACAGACGACCCAACGGCGCGCCCCGAACACCGCGGGATCCCGATTCCGGACTGCCCAGCCTCATTGCAGATGGCCTTTACATGCCCAGGTTGGTATCAGCTTTCCTCTTCGATCATACCACCCGTAGTTGGTAGGGCGAAAGAATAGTCGAAATTAGCACTTGGTGTATGTGGAGAGAAGTTGAAATCGGTAAAAAGTCTTAACTTTGGCGTAGAAGATGTGTTTTTGTGTCATTTTGGCGCTGAATCCGTTGATTTCGATGAGTCACTGCTCAACTTTGGTCCGTCCCATAGTGATGCATATCGTTAGATGGCGAGATGCTACTTGTCCACACTTTTTAGAGCTCTAAAACAAGAAAATTCATAAATCTCGTCCAAATCACTTCGTCCCTTCAAAGTAAATAAAGCTTATGAAAACAACAATTTGTACTTATTATTAATATATAAGTAGGTTTTCGAGTTTATCAGTAGATCATTTATATGAAGTGTAATTGCGTGTAATATTACATTTGAGGCAACAAGGGTACTGGTAATCGAGATTATTGGCTGTACTGTCATGGTTCGAGTCCCGCTAGGGGTGCTGGTCGAACCCGCAGTGCACTCCAGCCGGGATGAGAATACCTTTTGGGATAAATGTACAGTCTACTCAAGTGATTGTGGGAAAATTCAACTACCAGTCCCATTAGCACCTTAAGTGAAATCGAGTCAATACACTTCATATAATATTTGCACCTCTTTTTCATTGTATAAGTATCTTTTTGAGACCAACAATAGATCTTCTATAACAGCAGTTGATGAAGCACTGATCTCCAGTTTCCAGGGCTGATGAGAACCAGGTGAGGTCGAAAGTGCAGTCCACTACTACTTGGATGAGAATATATGAAAATATGCTGCCATGCATGCTATGCGAAAATCCTAAGAAATGTTAGGCCCTTTCATGGCTTTGTGGCAAAAAATCAGATACCAATTCTTTATAATTTTAATAGATGAAATAGTGTGATAAGTGTGATTACCGCTTTCATGTAATTCTGCATTGTCTATCCCACTTGTCGCCGATCCGGTTACACAACAGCGACCTAAGCCGAGTAATGGGCTCCAACGACATCAGCCGCAGCACACTCAAGACGAATTGATGCTGGCGCACAGGAATATTTCAATGTGGACATGTGAGGTCTCATGTCACATCGCTCCAATAAAGATGGTTTATTCCAGCCTAGAACATTCGGAGGGATGACTCTTTGTTAATAGTTTGTTGTACTTTTGGACATTCAGGTTAAGAAGGTGATTTCGCCAGGGAGGATGGAACAAACCTCAGATGCAGGCTTGAGCTGTTTCTTCAGAATTATCGTTTTTGGATCAGTAATGCATCTTCATTTTTAGATAAAAGTGAGGACTCCTTTTAGGACGGTTTGTGTTGTTATATATACATATATAAATATAAATAAATAAATATATATATATATATATACATCGTCCATCCAGTGTGATACAGATATCAAAAAATAGAAATGTGAGGGATTCTGGTTGA